CATAGCCATTACACTAACTGCTGGTCCCAACAAGTTACAAACTCTTGAGGCTTTGGTTTCTACATCTGTAAAATGAGAAATCTTGAGAAAGTATAAATATTCCTGAGATCTCTTCCAGCTCTGGGATTCTAGAAATGCTTTTATTCTTGCTTATATTGTCAAATCTTATTATGAAGCTGTAAGAGCTGAAGATTATACATTTTTTCCTATCTAGTATTTGAATTGGACACAGGTATAATCCTATTTTTGAATTTCTGGAATATTTCCAGAGTACTGTCTGTACCTTGGCTACATCCTTTTCTATGTTACTGATAGTTGTGGATATGAAAATGTCATGCACATCAGGATATGTAAGCACAATTACAGAGGGCATAGCATCATTAGTAGCAGAGTATAAATCAATTTCTACTTATTACTCAACTCCATTGCTTTCATAGATTGAAATTCAGAAAGTTTCAAGATTTAAGCTGAATACACAATATGTAATTTTAATAGTTAAAGACTGACACAAATCCATACATATAAAGTTCACTATCTACTTTAAGACATAGTAGACAAAGGATTATTTTCAGGATATTTTTAGTAATTTATTTAATTTTATGTATTCATTCATTTATTTTCATTTGACCAGAGACAGGCACAGAAAGAGAGAGAGAGAGAGAGAGAGAGAGAGAGAGAGAGGGAAAGTTAGAAATCAAGCCACCGGGTCCGGGACTCATACAGTGATCGGCCATGTGGGAGTGTCCAGCGCCCTAACCACCACGCCACCTGCTGGTCCCCTATTTTCAGGTTTTAGATAAAATGAAAAACCCAAGAAGTTAGTAAAGCCTTATTTAGTTCTTAAAGTTCAAATAAATTTAAAATCTACATATTCTACTTAATTCTTCTAAAAAGATTATTCAACTTTAAAATTCAAGAGGGTAAGACGTTGAACTTCAGTGTTCATCAATCATAACAAAATAGAAAACTGATTTTTCTTCAGATAATCAGTTACACTGATTATTACATAGTCAGTTCTTCAAAACTTCATGTTTTTTCTGATATTGTTTTGTTTCCTAACATAAATGACTTAGCATTACCTAACCATCTGTTGGCACAGGTGTTTTATAACACCTAATCCTTCACATAGGTTTTATTTAGAAATCAAAAGCTTGGGGACCAGCAGATGGTATAATGGTTACATCGCTGGACTCCCATGTAGTTAACTACAGTTCAAGTCCCAGACCTGGTGGCTTGAAACTCATGTCGGGCCCATGTGTGTGCTTGCCCAAAATCCCAAAAGGAAAATGGAGAAGGGATTGTGGCATAGCCATCTCCCTGGGGGGAGGGGGGAGGGAAATGATTTCTCAGTTTCTGTCCTCTGTCTCTCTCTGTCTCTCCAGTGAGTATATGTGCCCTATAGCAAAAATCTCTCTTAAAAAAAAATCAAAAACTTGAAGGAAGAAAACATAAAAAGATGAAGATATTGTATTTTCTAAATTATACTGTATAATACATAACATTATAATACTTTTAGTGAAACCTTTTGTTCCAGATGAAGCATGAAATGGAAGCTAAGAATGGTGCCATGAAATTTTAGTAGAGAGAAACCAGTAGTTAGCGTAATGGCTATGTCGCTGGACTCCCATGTAGTCGACCACAGTTCGAGTCCTTGACCCGGTGGCTTAAACTCATGCAGGGCATGTGTGTGTGCGTGAGTAAGATCCCAAGAGGAGAATGGAGGAGAAGGAATTGTGGTGTGGCCATCCCCCCGGGGGGTGATTTCTCGCTTTATGTTGCTCTGTCTCTTGAGTGAGCGCATGCATCCTATAGTGAAAACCACTCCAAAAAAAAGAAAAAAAGAAAAATTTTAGTAGAGAGTTCAACTACAGTGGTCCCCTCTTCTCCAAAGTTTTATTTTCTGTGGTTTCAGTTACCTATAGTCAACTGTGACCCCAAAAATGGATGAGTACAGTATAATAAGCTATTTTCAGAAAAAGGGGGATCAAATTTATGTAACTTCTATTATAGCATATTGTTATAATTTTTTTCTATTTTATAAATAGTCATTGCTGTTAATCTTTTACCATGGCTAATTTATCATAGGTTGTATGTTTAGGAAAAAGCATAATATATGTAGGATTTGGTACTATCCTCAGGTTCAGTCATCTTTGGGGGGGTCGTGGACAAGGGGGAACTATTGTATTAAAAATCAGCTGCTGTGATTACCTGCAAGAACAAAATAATCACATTCTGGCACATTCTTTTTTTTTATTTTTGGATAGATTTTCGCTATAGGGTGCATACTCTTGCCAGACAGACAGAGAGAGACATAGAGACAGAAAGCGAGAAATCACCCCCCAGAGGTGATGGTCATGCCACAATCCTCCTCCATTCTCCTCTTGGGATCTTGGGCATGCATGCACATGCCCCCGGTGTGAGTTTTAAGCCACCGGGTCCGGGACTCGAACCACGGTCGACTACGTAAGAGTCCAGTGACATAGCCATTACGCTAACTGCTGGTTCCCAACATTCTGGCACATTCTAATATGATAGGGAAAAACCAATACACCAAAAGAATGATGGTTCACAGTTTCTTTGATATAAGTAAGCATCAAAAATTATGAGTTCATGAGATTGACTGTAGACTCTAGAATGGAAGTAAAGAGAAAGGAACAAAAACAGAAAGATTAGAGAAAATTAGAAAATCCAACTCTTCTAGAAACAGGGAAAAAATGAAATGCATAAGCTCCATAATTAATGTTATCTTATACAGTAAGGAAATAAAAGAGTGAAGGAAAATACCACTTTAAACTTAGAACTCCATTAGCACAGCCTGTACTTTGTGACCTACCGGGGTATAGAATGCAGTCATTTTGCTGCTGCCTGGAACAGCCAGCCAGGAACAAATTTCACTCTGGCTTCCAATTGGTAACCAATCCACAAGCTTGAATTTAAGGTTCTAACCTTTAGTTTTAATGCTGATCATAGAAAAAGAGTTAGATATTTTTCTTGAGGGATGTGAGTGGATTGTGGGAAGGAGGAGTTTTGCCATATCCACAGGACCACTCCTGAAGATTGAAGTCCACCTTGCACCCCCAGACCCAGCACTGTGCACCCTGCACTTCCTTGAACCCTTATAATTCTGTGCTACTTGTTTTCTTGCATCATTATATATTCATTGGTACTGTGGATATGTTTGGTCTGTCTTCTGCTTTTTATTTGAGTATCTCATTTTGCTTTTCCAAATGATTTTCAAAGATTAGGAAATAGTCAAGGTTTGGATGATTGGGAAGGTTTTCCTGTTTCAATGAGCATCTAGGCTTTTCCCACACCACACCACACACAAGCTTTACTCTCTCTTCCAATATTCTCTAGACTAGGGACTGTCGGAAATATTCACATCTTCTTTTAAAATATTTTCAAGTTTTCTTTTCTTTTTTTAAGGTCTTTGCCATAGGTTGTGTGAATACCAGAGGAAAAGAGAGACAGTGAGAGGAAAAGAGAAAAATCACCCCCCAGGAGGGATGTCCACACTGCAAACTCTTCTCCATTCTCCTCTCAGAATTTTGGCCACACATGCAAACATGGCTGGCATGATTTTCAAGCTGCCAGGCCCTGGACTTAAACTATGATCAATTATGTGGTAGTCTAGCGCCTTAATCACTGCAATACCTGCTGACTCCAGAATACTTTGAAATTTACAGAATAATTACAAGGATAGTCCAGGGAGTTCTCACCTATTATTAACATTTTTCAGTACTATGAAATCCTGAATCCACAGACTCACTTCAGGAAGTCCATGATCTGGGGCCAAAAGGTAGTGTGATGATCGAAGGAGTTGGAATCTCACATGGTTGACTGGAGTTCGTGTCCCAGACCTGGTGACTTGCTTTCTCGCTTTCCTTTTCTTTCTCTCTGGTCAAATTAAAAAATAATAATAATAATGATAACAAATGGAATTAAATAAGTAAATAAAGAAATAATTTTTTAAAAGAAGTCCATGCTCTGTTTGCAGTCCATGGTAAATTTATACGAAAATAAGTTTTTGTAGTCAATCCATTTGTATGAAAATAAGTTTCATTTCGCTCAAGAACTGTATAAAAACTATACTTTTAGCTTCATCAATCCTTTTTCTCTGCAATTTCTGCTCTCACATTTTTCACCTCTCTAGTAAATTTTTTTGTTTGTTTATAAGAATACTTGACCCCCTCCAAGGGCACATTTACATCAGTGTGCACATGCAGCTGAATTGACCAGAGGGTTCTTAAACACCCCTGTGTAACTCTCTGAGTTACTTGGCTCGGTGTGTTTGCATATGATATATTAACTCTATTGTACTACGAGCCCCAGTGTTCCTTCAGATTCAAGAGTCTGCCCATAGTACACAAACGTAAACCTAGAGCTCAGCATTAGAATCAGCTGGGTTCTCTATCCAGAACAGTGTATATGGGTGTGTGTGTTCAGTAATTATTTTATTTAACTTTATTTATTTATTTATTTATTTTAATTTGACCAAAGAGGAACAGAGCAAGAGAGAGAGGGAAAGTGAGAAAGTAAGCCACTAGGTCTGGGACTCAAGTCATGGTCCACCATGTGGGAGTCCAGCGTTCTTAACCATCATGCCACCTGCCAGCCCCAGTGTGTATTTTTTTAAATCCCCTGAAAGAATTTGGATGCATAGTATATCAAAACCATTTGTATAGTTATTTTAAACATTTGCTTGACAGCAAAGAATAGATGGATCTACTAAACTATTACTCTTTTCCCTATCAACTTTAAGGAACAAAGACCTATGAATCTACTACAGCCGTAAAATACTATTATTATTTTTGTGTGTGTGTCTATGTAGAGTACATTATTTGAGGTCTTTCTAACTCCATTTTAGCTCTAAAAATAAAAGGTAATTATACCAGTAGAAATCTAAGATAAACTCTCCCAAGTTAAAACTTACTTACATCAATATTTTGAGTATTTTAAATGACTGTTGTCATTGTCTAATGTTCGGGGATTTATTTCAGACTTACAGATTCCCGTCTGCTGTTGGAAGATTATTCATCCAAGTTGAGCCCCCAAACAAAGAGAGCCAAGAAGAGTCTTCTGTCTGGAGAGGAGAAAGAAAATCTGCCACGTGACTATATGGTACCCATTTTCTCAGGACGGTGTGTGTGCTTTCTCTTTCTGACTTTGATCATTAGAAATGGTGGAGCAAATATTGTCAGATAATAATAACAGCAACTAACATTTATTGAGTACTTATACGTTGGTTAAGGAATGTCTAAGGAAGCTTGGGATCCTGCACTGAGAGAGATTTCACTTGTCAATTTCAAACACGGATTTCCTTTGCAGAAATCTTTGCCACTACATATGATGGCTACATGACAAAAGAAAAAGATTAACATTTAATGCTACTTATGTAACTAGTTGAAATGGAAAATAGAGCCTTGGATGCTAGTGATTGAATACTACATATGGTCACTGTAGATAAAGTGTTAAGAAATATCCCAAACTACAAAATGTGGAGGGCCAGCCCATAGCTTCATAGTTAAAGGCGTCAGATCCTACAAGGCAATGATAGTTCAAATCCTGGCCTTGGCATCCTGGACAACAACCCAGATACATTTGTGTGCCCAAAGTTCTGACAAAATAAAGAAGGGGTTGTGATGTGACCATGCCTCATTGAGGGGCACTTTATCCCTTTCTGTCTCTGTTTTGCTGTCCTTTTATAAAGAGCACACACTCCCTCTGGCAATTAAAAAAAAAAAACTTTTTTAATATTGAATAAACTAAAAACAAAAACAAAAATCAAAATCAGTTCATATGTTTAAGTATATAGAAGATATCTTGGTTGTCAGTGTGGTCTTCATTATTTTTATTTTTATTTTTTGGAGAGGTTTTTGCTATAGGGCGCGTGCGCTCGCCAGACAGATGAAGAGATACAGAGAGACAGAAAGCGAGAAACCACCCCCCAGGGGGGATGGCCACGCCGCAATCCCTTCTCCTCCATTCTCCTCTCAGGATCTTGGGCACGCACACACACGCGCCCAGTGTGAGTTTTAAGCTACCGGGTCCGGGACGTGAACCGCGGTCTACTACGCGGGAGTCCAACGACATAGCCATTATGCTAACTGCTGGTCCCTGGTCTTAATTATTTATTAGGGGAAAATATAACTTAAATGCCTAGCTTTTATTCATTCAATGGAAAACAGATTGTTATTCATTTTAAAGTGAGCGACATAGCCATTACGCTAACTGCTGGTCCCATGTCAATTTCTTTTTTTAGAGAGCTTTTTTTGCTATAGGGCATGTACGCTTAGCAGAGAGACAGAGAGAGAGATAGAAAGCAAGAAATCACCTCCCAGGTGAGATGGTCACACCACAATCCCTCCTCCTCCATTCTCCTCTCAGGATCTTAGGCACACACTCACACATGCCCAGTGTGAATTTTAAGTCACCGGGTCCAGGACTCAAACCACATTTAACTGTGGGAGTCCAGCAATGTAGTCATTACGCCATCTGCTGGTCCCCTCTATTTTCAATTTCTATCTTTGTTATATAAACATATATTTTTCAGCAATAATAATATTCAAAAGAATCTGGAAAAAGAAACTTATCTGAGACACCAAGATTAGTTTAACAGGAACTTTCTGGACCTTCTGATGTTTATTTTCCTTTGAATGGAGAGCTATTTCCATAGTTAAAGTGATACTCAAAACAAGGTCATTCTCTCAGGGCAGATGTCATGGAAAAGTAGATCCTTACTGAAAGGGCATAGCGTGGTTGTGATTTTTGATGACCTACTTCTGTTGCCTTGTGTTTTTATTTCCATTGCTCTCTGAGGTTAGGTTAGGTTCCTTTCTAACTTGTTTCAGAGGCTAATGTCATAATTCCTCTGAACTCTCTTAGAAAGGTAGGGGATAAAAATATTCTATTTTCAACGTTTTATCAAATACCTTTTATAAAAAAATTTGCAAGAGGATACATGTGCTCAACAGAGAGATGGAGGTTGGAGAAAGTTAGAAATTACCTCCCACAGGTCATGGTCATGCTGCAATTCTTTCTCCTCCATCTCTCCCCTACTTTATGATTTTTGGGCATACACACACATGTGCTGGGTGTGGTTTTCAAACCCCAGGGTCTAGGACTCGAACTGCACATTTGGCCATGTGGAATCCATCTGCCTTAACCACCAGGCCATGGGCTTGCCCTATCTAATATCTTTGATATCCCTGATTTTTCAAGTGAACTTTCCAGACAAACAAGTTTATTTTGGTATGTATGCTTGTCTAGACTTAGCCTCTTCTGAGACACCAAGATTAATTTAACAGGAACTTTCTGGACCTTCTGATGTTTATTTTCCTTTGAATGAAGAGCTATTTCCATAGTTAAAGTGATACTCAAAACAAGGTCATTCTTTAATATATGCTCATATTCATTATCAGTTATGGCGGGGCTACAGGAGTAAAATATTTTGTCTTCTGTTTTCTCTCTCTCTGTTCAAAAAAAAAATCATTTAGATACCACCTCAACCTAGCTTTAACTTACATGGCGTGCTTGTCTACCTGGATAAGCACGAAATGAAACTTTTCACTCCCATGTCTTCCTGCTCTTAACCCACCAAATTATTGGGTTGTTAGAAAAGTCACCATCTCATTTTTGCATATAAAAACATAGAAATAATACGTCATGACTTTTTGATTACCCAACATTTTGTCTTTTCCACCATGCCACCTGCTGGTCCCCTAAACTGCTAATTTTAATAGTAGAGACTACTTTACTAATATTTGGAGAAACAGAGAAAAAAGTTAAAAGGTACCCACTATGTTTAGTTAGAAACAAAATGGACAAATCTTTTTTAAAGAATTATTTAATTTTATTTATTATTATTATTATTTTTTAAACTTGCTATAGGGTATGTGTGCTCACCAGAGAGTGACAGAAAAGAGAGGGAGTGAGAGAGCAAGCTGCCAGGTCCAGGACTTGAACCATGGTTAACCATGTGAGAGCTGAGTACCTTAACCACCACACCACTTGGTGGCCCCAGAATGGACAAATCTTGTCTGTCAGATATTTTGGTAATATTCCACAAGAAATTTCTTTTTTTTTTTATTTTAGAAATTTTTGCTATAGGGTGTGTGCACTCACCAGACAGAGAGAGCGAGACAGAGAGACAGAAAGCGAGAAATCACCTCCCCAGGGGGAATGGCCATGCCGCAATCCCTTCTCCTCCATTCTCTTCTCGGGATCTTGGGCTCGCACGCACACGTGCCCGGCGTGAGTTTAAGCCACCAAGTCCGGGACGCGAACCGTGGTTGACTACATGGGAGTTAAGTGACATAGCCATTACACTAATTGCTGGTCCCTCCACGAGAAATTTCAAACTTGGGTAAGCGTTAAGTTCTATTTCTCAGCAAACTGCATAGATTGAAATGCTAAGAACTTGGCACTAAATGCAATGGTGGTTTTGCTTAAATTTTGAAATGATCACACTTATAAGAAAAGCAAACATACAATTTTTTTTTTCCCCCAAAGGACACACGTGCTTGCCAGAGAGAGAGAGAGGGAGAATGCATCCCCTAATGGGACATGCGTTCTTCTCTGTTTCTCTATCCTATTGGAATCAGGGGCACACACACACACACACACATGCCCAGTGTGTTTTTCAAACCAGTCTGGCCAGGATTTGAGCCATGGTAGGCCAAATCTCTTTAACCATTAGACTCTAAAGACAGCCTATAAAGGGACCAGCAGTTAGCGTAATGGCTATGTCACTGAACTCCCATGTAGTTGACCACGGTTCGAGTCCTGGACCCAGTGGCTTAAACTCGTGCTGGGCGTGTGTGTGTGCATGCCCAAGATCCCGAGAAAAGAATGGAGGAGAAGGGATTGTGGCGTGGCCATCCCCCCTGGGGGGGTGATTTCTCTCTTTCTATCTCTCTGTCTCTCTCTGTCTTTCTGGCAAGCACATGTGCCCTATAGCAAAAACTTCTCAAAAAAAAAGAAAAAAAAGACAACGTGTAAATGGGCAGGCTGACATGAGAGTTTTAAAGAGATTAAATTTCAGGATAATCTTTAATATATTCAGTATACTCTCACTGAAATATCCAATGAAGTTTACAACAAAGGCACTGAAGGGGACTAAAAATAATCCAAATATTCTTAACAGTATTAATAACTCAGAGCATAAATTCTATTATAAACTGTTAAACTAGGAAAAACACTTTTTTAAAATAATTATTTATTTAGCTTTATTTATTGTTATTTTCAAAATTTCCTATAGGGCACATGTGCTCACCAGAGAGAGGCAGAGAGAGAGAGAGAGAGAGAGAGAGAGAGAGGGTAAGTGAGAAAGCAAGTCACTGGGTCTGGGACTCGAACCACTGTGGGACATGTAGGAGTCAGTGCCTTAACCACATGCCAGCTGCTGGCCGTGGAAAAACACATTTAAATGTCACCACTCACTTGCCACTATCATCAATCACAAACTTTATTTTATTTATTTATTGATTGATTGATTTAGGAGAGATTTTTGCTATAGGGCGCGTGTGTTCGCCAAGGAGACAGAGACAGAGAGACAGAAAGCAAGAAATCACCCCCCAGGGAATGGCCATGCTGCAATCCCTTCTCCTCCATTCTCCTCTTGGGATCTTGGACACACACACACACGCGCCTGGTGTGAGTTTTAAGCCACTGGGTCCGGGACTCCAACTGCGGTCAACTACATGGAAGTCTAATGACATAGCCAAAATGCTATATACTGGTCCCAATCATGAATTTTAAAAAGTCACTTTTATAAATATCACCGCTTCAATTGAATGTTTGGTCATTTCTTCTCATCAGGGCTGTGTGCAGGTACAAATGAAGACTGTCTTATTGAACATGCACACACATGTAATGTATATACACATAACCTTTATTATATTAGAAAGAAGCCCAGTAGACATAGAATCTCATGTGAATTTAGAACTTATTTATGCACAGCTTTGGACAATGCATTGTTAACGACTGAGTTTACAGAATCCAGATCAAGCACACAAACTGTATGTCGTTTTGCAATATTTTCTTTTCTGGAAAGGAAATCATAACTTAATCTTTTACCATCAAGTAAATCATATTTAAACACACTAAAGCAACTGGTAAAATCACCTTGGGCAAGTTATCTAACTTCTTCGAGCCTTGTTACTATATATGTAAAATAGAAATGACACAAGTAAACTCATACAGTTTTTGTGGGAATGAAATGAGACAATGAATGTAAAAAACACCAGGCTCATATTAGGTATTATTATTGTTGCTGTCATTATTATTGTTATTTGTAAGAGAAAGATCACTTTTGTGGATGGAAAGTTAGCTCCCAATTTACTAGTTCTTTCTCTGTCAGGTTTTCTTTGGGGACAGGACACAGTGTCTGAGGTTTGATATTTTGAACTTAGTAAATTAGGCAATTTTACCACTGCCATCCACATTTTACTATTATTGTGTTTCAGACAAATGCATGTCAGTGGAATTACAGATACAGAAGAAGAAAGAATTAAAGAAGCTGCGGCTTATATAGCCCAGAGGAATCTTCTTGCCAGTGAGGAGGGAATCATGTCTAAGCAGTCCACCTCATCCAAACAGTCCGTGGTTTCCAAGCAGTCCACCTCCACTCTTCAACAGGAAGAGAGTTTTGAAAAAAAGTCAAGGAAAGTTGCAATCCGGGAAAAAGCAGAACGCCTGTCACTCAGAAAAACAGTAAGAAAAGACAACTTAATGTAACTCACAAAAGTGGAAATGAATGTAACAAGGTGTGAGTGTGTGTGCATGTACGTAGATATATAAGGGAAATTTGAAAAGCTCATGGAAAATGAAATTAAAGAAGTTCGAAACCCATGCATAGTTTTTCCGTAGTTCACATTTTTTTTTATAAACTTTTTTAAAACCTCCTTTATAGATTGGTTTGTTTTAAATGAAGAAATAAATATGTGATGTGGAGAAACAAAACTAAAGAAAGCAAGGAGAAAGATAGTTAAAATATGTACATCAAAGAAAGGCAAACTGAATAGTGTTCAATTCCATAAAACTTTGGATTTTGAAGAAATTAAGGTTCAAAAGAACCTTAAGAAATTTACCTTTGTGAATAAAAATATGTTGCTCAAACTTCAAACATTAATTGTAAATAACTACACCTGTTTTTAGAAGGAAGGAGGGGAATTCATTTTATCTAAACACAGAAGTAAGTTTTCACATGGAAAAATTAAAATTTGGGCTTTTACTTGTTATTTTAGCACTGATAGTTACTTTGATTTAATAGTACTTTGATAATATATTTGTTTTTTTTTCAGTTGGAAGAAACTGAGGCATATCATGGAAAATTGAATGAAGACCATCTCCTCCATGCTCCTGAATTCATCATAAAACCTCGCTCCCACACGGTTTGGGAGAAAGAGAGTGTAAAATTACACTGCTCTGTAGCAGGCTGGCCAGAACCTCGTCTCACATGGTATTCTCTCTTTTTAAAAACTAATAAAAGTGATTACACAAATTGACCTCTAATAAAAGCACACAGAACTATCAATATACAAGAGTCAATGAAGGCATCAGTAAGTTTGCATAGGTTTTCAAAAGAGTGAAGTATATGGAGTGAATTTTTATATATGGGAAGGAAAAATAGTCTTGCATACATATCATACATCATAATACTTTAAAATCCTATCATACAAATGAATCTTCATTTTATATAAAGTATTAAGTTTTATGGGACCAGCAGTTGGTGTAATGGCTATGTCGCTGGACTCCCATGTAGTCGACCACAGTTCGAGTCCCAGACCTAGTGGCTTAAACTCACGCTGGGCATGCATGTCCAAGTTCCCGAGAGGAGAATGGAGGAAAGGGATTATGGCATGGCCATCCCCTACTGGGGGTGATTTCTCGCTTTCTGTCTCTCCATCTCTGTCTTTCTGTCGAGTGCATGCGCCCTATAGCAAAAATCTCTCCAAAAAAATAAAATATTAAATTTGAGTCAACATATATGTCTACCTAAAATATGTCTGTGATTGCTGTGGACCACAAAAATTAAATAAGTTTGCTTCCATCAGTGAATTTTTCAATATAGTATAATTTTGTGGTCAGGAGCAATGCTACCTTTTATAAAATAATGAAAACCCAGAGGGCTGCCATCCCTACCCTTCATGTGAGCTGATGCCTCAAGGTGATTTCTGAAACCAAACATGTAAGGGCCCAATACAAAGCCTTAAGACGTTTCCTTTCCATAAAGAAGCACTTCTTTTCTCCTTCCATTATGTATCCTGTTGAAATTGTCACTGCCTTCATGATTCTAAACACAGAGCTTTTCTGTCATATGTTATGGATATCTGCCATGAAGAGTGGAAAGCATGAAACCGAGCCCATTAAAAAAGATATTTTTGTTTTATTCTATGACACAGGCATTTTGCATGCTGCTTTCTTATCCTCAGGAATCGTGATAAATGCAACTATTATACAAATGTCGTTATCACCTGAAGAGCATTCTGCCTTCTTTCTTTTCCATTATTTCTAATGCTGCTCGTACTAGTGCTAATGCAGGTAGCTGGCAAGATAAACCCATTTAGCTGTCTAAGTTTATTCTTATAAAGTGGATGGTGAGTTTAAAATTTATTCACCTGTGATATTGATCTGCTTTTGGTAATTTTAGATTAAGTTACAATTTTCCCCTCTTTTTTTTTCCTTTTTAAAAAATTTGCTGGAGGGTGCATGTGCTCACTAGGGCAAAGGGTGGGGTGCACTAGAGAGAAAGCATCCCCAATAGGTCATGGTCACATTACAGTCTCTTCTCATTCACTTCTAGATTGGGATTTGGGGCATGCATGCACATGTGCTCACCGTGTATTTCAAGCTGCCGGTTCAGTGCTTGAACCACACAGTCAGCCATGTGGGATCCAGCCACCTTAACCACCATGCCACCAGCTGGTCCTTGCTTATACTTTCTCTATGTATGTAAATTATTTTCAGGGCTCTTGCGTTTGAAAATTGAAAATCAAAAGAAAATACAATTCATAGCTGGTTATGAATTATCAAGGTAAACAATGATAGTAAACAAAGATGAGAAATGTAGAAACATATTAAAATGAAAATTAAGTTTATAGAAGTTAATTTCCAGGCTGTAAAATATAAACATAAGGGACCAGCTGGTGTCATGGTGGCTAAATCAGCTGAATTCCATACAGCTGACTATGCAGCTCAAATTCCGAACCCAGTGGCCTGAAATACACACGGGCATGTGTGCATACATGCCCAAAATCCCAAAGGGGGAAATGGAGAAGGGGCGGTGCTGTGACCATCCCCCACTGACGCGGCTTTCTCACTCCCTGCCCATCCCCGCCCTGGCCTCCAGCAAGTGCACATCCTCTAGCACATTTAAAAAATAAATAAAAGTTAGGAATCACTCTGCCTTTGCCCCACTCTTCTCTGTGATCACAGGGTTTCACAATTTGGCATACTAAAGAAATATTTCTGTTTTAAAATCTGATTACTTCCTACTTCAGAAAGATGTTCCAAATTCTCCTACAGAAATCTATAAAGAAAAACAAATTTTTAGCTTCAGGAAATATTTGGTCATTAAAAAATGTATCTTTTTTCATGAGTGAAAAGATAATAATAACTGAATAATTAAAGTCCTTAATTAAGCAGATATACTTACTATACACTTTTATATCTTTTCTGGATTTTTAAAAATTAGAATTGAAGATAATTTTGAAAGGCTACAAAGTAACCTCTGGGGGAGAAATATTAATTTCTTAAACATTTATTTATTCCCTTAAATACACGGCAACTGGAATAGAACTTGGCCACATTTCATTGGTTCTATTAGGCCACGTGATGTGATTTCACAAAGGCAGAACTCAACTTTGGAGGTTAAACACCTCTCCTTGTAATTTGTTGGCCTAGAAATGGGGTGATTTAAAGACAAATGTGGCCCAGACACAGTAGCACGTGCTGGACATTGCTGCGTGGCAGGCTAAGACCACGTGGGAGGCCTGGGTTTGATTCTCAGCCACCCTGGAAAAGCTAGGTGTGGTGGTATATGTCTGTAGCCCTTGCTACCCACAAGTCTGAGATAAGATGATTGCAACTCTCAGTCAACATAGGCAACCTAGCAAGACCTTGTCTACAGGAGCTGAGTGTGGACGTGTGTGCCTGTGGTCCCAGCTTGTGGCTGACGTAGGAGGATCTTGACACAGAGAGACCCCGTCTAAAAACAAAGCAAGACAAGCAAACAAACAAAACAAAGCGACACACATACACAAGACAGAAAAAAAGAAAACATCCCATAAAGATATGAGATGAGCAAACTGTTGACTCTTAGAATTCCAGTTAAACTCAAATATAGAAATACTGTCCATTTTCACTTATCCTCACTAAACAGAGATGAGAAGTAGTGGCATTGACTCCCAAGTCTTTTTACTTGTGGCTTTGAATTATGTATTTTATTTAACATGTGAATTTTATGCTGTAGGGGCTCATTTCAAGCAAAAATTAAGACACAATGGCAAACTTTGTGTCAGGAAGGATTAGGAAGAGCTGCTTCTGGTGTCTGTATTCCCTGGAGGAGTCACACCCTAGCCTGATACAAAGCACCGGGCCCAGGGATCTTATTCCTTAGTATAAATTTTCCCTCATAAATTTCCCTTTATAAATTAGCTAGTCTCAGGAATTCTGTCATACCAACAGAAAAATGAAGGACAGGCCAGAGCATTTCAGTGAAAGTCTCATTACCTAGCAAGCTCAGTGAAACAAATATTAAAACAAAAGAACCAGGAGACAACTAAGAAAATAGTTCATTGTACTTCTGAGAGCAAGATTTGCCCATGGACAAAGATGAAAAGTATATTATCAGCTAGCAGATAACTATGGCTATGGAAACAGCAGGGCCCAATCCAGGATTTGTGGAGCGTGAAAGTTTACAATTTGGGGGTTACTCTTCAGGAGCAAGAACATGAAGTTAGTAATATGAATTAAGCATAGGACCTGGCAGAGGCCTGTGCTAGTGAGGACTCTGAAACCTGAGCTTTATTTATTTTATGGTATCTCCACCTCTGGCTGTAGACTTCTGTGGGACTAGTATACTGCTATGGTTTAGACGTGGTTTGTTCCTGTTAAAACTCATGTTGAAGTTTAATTACCATTGACAGTGCTGGGAGGTGGAGCTTTTAAGAGGTATTCAGATCATAGGGTTGTTATAAAGTAAGGCTATTCTACCTGTTTTTGCCTCTCTCTCTCTCTCTTTTATTTTTTTAGTCAATGTTTTACCATGTTACAATCCTCTCACCCCCTTTTTTTTTCTTACAGGTGTGTGCTACCATGCTACCAGATTTATTTATTTTTTTACTTTTTTTTTGCCATGGGGCATGTACACTCACCAGAGAGTGAGAGAGAGAGAGAGAGAGAAAGAGAGGAAAAGTGAAAAATCCCCACTACAATCTCTTCTCCTCCATTTTTCTCTAGGGATTTTGGGCAGACACGCACATGTGCTCAGTGTGATTTTCAATCTGCCAGCTCTGGGACTTGAACCACAGTTGGCCATGTGGGAATCCAGTATCTTAACCACCATGCCACTTACTGGCTCCACCATGCCCAGATTTTTAAAGCAGATCAGGAATTGAACCTGGGCTTCCATGTGGCTTCAGCCTGCCAAGTAGCAGCGTCTGCTAGTGTGAGCTATCTCAGGCCTGTCTGACCTCTTTTCTATGCACCTGCCCATTTCTCTGCCATGTGACTCCATCCACCATGGTATGTCATAGCTAAGGCCCTGACCAGATGTGCTGTCCAATCTTGAACTTTCCAACTCCAGAACTATGAGCTAAATAAACCTCCTTTATAAATAACCCAGTCTCAGGAGTTCTGTTCTATGAACAGAAGGAAAACTAAGGCATATACCTTCCTGGGCATGTTGCCTTTAATTATATATATATAAATAAACTGAACCTCTCGTTTACTTTGCAGTGCTAATACAGAATGTGTAATCTTCAGTAAGCATCCTTGTCCTCAGTGAGCAGGGATCCCACAACTCCAACAGGAACCAGGGCTGTTGGTGATTGTTTTGCTGGCATTTATGTTTTTTTTGGTACCCAACTGCAGCTTCCTGGGCCTGACATTTAGTACAAGCATGAAGAAAATATTGGGAAGGCCCTTCCTGAACAGAAGAGGGACATTAAAGGGATACACTTGTGATGATACTTCATACACTTATGCTGCCTCCACTTGTAGCAGTCAAGTGCTTAGCCCACATCTTTCAAAGGCATGTGTGCCTGGGGCCTGACTCCCTCAGTGGCCTTTCCAAAGAGGGTTTGGCTCTAAGTCTCCATTGGGCACCTTTAGGTCATGGGAGTCCCTTAGGCCTAACAAATGATACGAACTTGCAGCAGCTGTTCTTCTGCCAATCCCCCATTACTGACCCAGACCAAATCTATTTCAGTAGAACTAGAGGTTACTCAGAAAGCGCTGACTGACAAGACCACAGAATGCATCAAGGCCAGCTGCAGCTGTGAAGTGCCCTCCTATTCTCAACTCACTCTTAAAGCAGAAAGGAAAACTGATTATGTCTTGAGTTTAGTAGAAAAGTTAGTTGCAGAGAACAGTGCTGCAATGCCACAGGGAACCTGGCCATCCTGGAGGGAGGCTTTGTCAGTATAGAAGAAAACATACATAGAAGAAACTGCTTCTGCTGCACATCTGTGATTTCATTATTTTTATCTATTTACTTACTGAGAGAAAAGAGAAAGAGAAAGACAGGTATCCTCAACAGGGTCTTATGCTACAACCCTCCCCCAGCTTTCCCAGCCAGCCAGGATCATGGGTGAGCCTATGGACTTGTCTGCTGTGTTCAAGTTGACCCAGGAGCTGATCTCTGTGTTTCCATATGGATCCAATATCAGAGGGGGCGAAACCACTGCACCACCATGGCTGACCCTCTGTGATTCCTTTGCTAGTTCAGCTCTTTTTATTTCATATCTGAGGGACCTCACGCACAAAGAGCCTAAACTTCCTTTCTTTGTGTACTCTTATTTAAAGCATACATATCATGAAGTAGTGTAAAAAGGTCAAAGGTTTCAAATTGAATAGGCCATACTTATTTAATAACTTGTATAATAGTCTATTTGTTTTAAAAAGGAGGAAGGATTTATATTTTTATGGGTGTCATTAAATTCTGAAAGCATATGTAAGGACCTAAAAAGAGCAAATATTAAAGTAAGACAACCAGGAGGCTAAGAAAATAGTTCATTGCACTTCTAAGAGCAAGATTTGCTCCTGGGTCGAGCTGAAATGTGGATAATCAGCAAGCAGTTAGCTATGGCAACATAGAGGGTCAGATCCAGGTTTTTGTCTGGCATGAAGTTTATATAATTTTTTTTTTAGAAAAAATAACCTTGAAGGCTTTTTTCTCGACCATACTTCATACTGCCAAGGAGCTTTCACTGTAACTCCTTATCATCAAAGTCAGCTCAACATCTAAACTGACATTTATGCGAGGGAATTAAGTATGTGTGTGATCCTGTGTTATTCTAGAAATACTTATAGTATACTGAAAACTCATTAATGAATAGTTCAGAGACTTCATGTGAAAATGATAAGGAAAATGATGTGATCTGAATATTCATAAAGATTTAAGAAAACGTCTGACAAATAATCCCAGGGTGTAGACTACGCCATGACTAGTCAGTTTGGAATTTCACTTTCCAGGGGAAAACAAAACAAAACAAAAAACTATGAAGTATATTCAGAGCAGGCCAAAAATCCTTTTTTTCTTCCCTGACTTAATTCTGAAGACAGCCAATCTCAAGTGACCCCAAGCCTGAATGTTTTTCTAGGTGAAATTTCAAGAAGAGTAAAAGTAAATATCTTTCTGACTTAACCTTTGTCTTTAAAGAGGAATTCCTTACACCCACAGTTGGAGTACCAGAGGAAGGACTAGGAGTGCAACAGTTAGTGTCGTGTTCATATTTTAGATGCATTTGCTCTGCCAGATAGTCATTTCAGAAAAGTCAGGAGTATTTAGCTGGGGAAGAGTATAAGGTGCTAAGTCAGGAAGTATTCAAAGGCAAGGAGGGTGAAATAACAGAGCGGCAAATACTATTTTAACTCAGTTTATAGTGATATGAACAACATTTTTGATCAGAAGCCAAATTGAGTGTCACTCCATCATTTGGTGAGCAACACATGTCATAGCCTTTAGTTTCATATTACTCTTCTTATGCTAAGAGGAACTACTGAAATCCCTCCAGCACTTGACAAAACTGAGTAAGAGGGAGCTTTTAAGTGTGAAATTACCTAATCAGAAAAGCATGCCAGTTAACATGTGACCAGTATATTCCTTTCTTTCCTTTTAAAAAAAATCTGCAAGAAAGTATGTGTGCTTGGAGGGAGAGCGAGAGAGAAAGAAAGGGAAAGTGAAGAAGCACCTCCTATGAGAAATGATTACATTGCCTTTTTTTCTTCTAGATTTCTCCCTCTTTGGGAGATTTTGGACACACACGTGCACACACCTGGTGTGTTTCTCAAGCCACCAGGTCTAGGACTCAACCTGCACAGCACAGTTGGCCATGTGGGATCCAATCACCTTAACCACCATGTGACTGGCTGGCCCCATTAGATTTCTTTTTAGAGGCTATTTCTGATTAAATAGGCTTGTCTGTCTAGAACCCTTTGTGATTTTTTTGTTTTGTTTTGTTTTGTTTTTTGTTTTTTTTTTTTGTTTTGTTTTGTTTTGTTTTGTTGTTGTTTTGCTATAGGGCGTGTGTGCTCGCCAGGAAGACAGAGAGAGACAGAGAGACAGAAAGTGAGCAATCACCCCCCCATGGAGGATAACCACACTGCGATCCCTTCTCCTCCATTCTCCTCTTGGGATCTTGGGCATGCACGCACATGCGCCTGGTGTGAGTTTAAGCCACCTGGTCTGGGACTTGAACCGTGGTCGACTACATGGAAGTCCAGTGACATAGCCATTATGCTAACTGCTGATCCCTAGAACCCTTTGTTGAAACAGCTGTCTGAGGCCACTTTTGGTCTGGTGGGAAACAGCACCGTGTCAACTAGTAATGTCTTCCCTGGGTGGGGAGGTTATGTTCCTACATCTACCACACAGTTGTGATTCTTTTTTTCTCTTTTTTCAGTTTGTTTATTTCTTGAGTGACAGACAGAGAAAGAGAGAGGGAGAAAGTGGCACCTTCAATAAGGTCTCATGCCATAATCCTACCTCTGAGCTTCCTAGCCAGCCAGGATCTCAGGTATGCCCATAGGCATGCCCAGTGTGTGCAGGTTAACCCAGGATCCGAACTCTGATCTTCCGTATGGATTCAGTATCTGAGAGCAGAGCCCTATCACTGTGCTACCACAGCTGTGCCCTACAGCTGCAATTCTTCTTTTTGTTTCTTTCTATTCTTCTTTTTAATTTTTTAATTAATTAATTAATTTTTTGGAGAGGTTTTTGCTGTAGGGCACATGCGCTCGCCAGAAAGACAAAGAGAGGCAGAGAGACAGAAAGTGAGAAATCACCCCCCAGGGGAATGGCCACACCGCAATCCCTTCTCCTCCATTCTCTTCTTGGGATCTTGGGCACGCATGCACATTCATGTGGTTTGAGTTTAAGCCACCGGATCCGGGACTCGAACCACGGTGGACTACAGGGGAATGCAGCGACATAGCCATTATGCTAACTGCTGGTCCCCAGCTGCAATTCTTGAGCAACTCTTTTATTTCACATCCAAGAGAGCTGACATGCAAAGAATCTCCATTTACTTCCTTTGTTTGCACTTGTTTAGAAGTCATTAGAACTTTCCTTTCATGATATATGAAGTTCTTTCTAGGAAAGAGCTATGTTTATTTGTGACATTGGATAAAACACTTAAATATAATGGTCTTTCAATAAAATGTCATTTAAATTTTTTTTTGAGACATTTTTGCTATAGGGTGCATATGCTTGCCAGAGAGAGAGAGAGAGACAGACAGAAAGCAAGAACTCACCCTGAAGTGGGGATGGCCATGCCATAATCTCTTCTCCATTCTCCTCTCAGGATTCTGGGCACATATACATGCACATGTACCTGGTGTATTTCAAGCCAAGTCCGGGATTTGAGTCATGGTCAACCATATGGGAGTCAGCAATGTAACCACTATGCTATTTGCTGGTCCCAAAGTGATATTGTTTTTAACAGCATGCAACAATGTTAGTAGGAAAAATATTTTGCTTTTATTCTACTGAGATAGCCAACAATAAAACTCTTTTTATTATGTCAACAGTAATCAAATTTTTTTTTGCTTTTTGAAACTTAAAATACAATATATACACACAAATAAAGTGTATATTATATATAAATATAGAGCATAAGTGATTTTTTATAAACTATATGCACCCAAGTAGCTAGCACTCAAATTAAGAAACCAAACATGGAAGCTACAAGAGAGGCCTGGGCTTTAGTTCTCCAGGCCAAACTGAACATGACTAGGAGCAGTTGGGTGCACCTGAAATCCTGGCTAATTGGAAGTCTGAAGCAGAATGATCACAATACAGTGAGATCCTGTTAAAAAACTATCTGTCTCTTTTCCTTGCCTTCTATCTATCTCCCCTCTGTCTCTTTCTCATAAAGGAAAGAAAACCAAACATTAGCAGCAGTCAAGAGCCTCCTTTATGCCCCACCGCTCCACCCTGGGAAATCACTATGCTTACTTCTAGAAGCATTCATCAGTCATTTTGGTTTTGTACTTTATAAAAAGCAGCCACTGTACACATTTATGACTAGCTTTTTTCACTATTCTCAGATATGTGCGATTCATTCATATTGTTGTAAATGATCAGTCAATTTTTTTTCATGTAAATTTTACGGAGGATAAAAAGTACATCATCAAGAATCTTTATCGTGTTGTTAGTGCTTTTTATTTAAATAAATGTAATTTGTACTTGTTCCTTCTCCTCCCTCTCCCTCTCCTTCTCCTTCTTCTTCTTCTTCTCCTTCTTCTGCTACCCTCATGTTTCCTGGTACCATGTTTACAACCGTTCTTGTAAGAACGAGAAATGTATGTCTGTGTGTTTAATCATGAAGTTATAGCTACTTAACTTACTTCATTTTGTTTCCATTATCTTATAGGTATAAAAACCAGGTACCAATAAATGTCCATGCAAACCCTGGGAAGTATATTATTGAAAGTCGATATGGAATGCACACTCTGGAGATTAACTCGTAAGAGAACATCAATGTTTGTGTGTGTTGTCTGACAATTGCTCAGGGAGGCACTTCACTGTTCCAGTTGACAGCCACTCTCCTGGCTTTGTTCCACTGGAGTATGGTCACAGGAGACATTCATATACGCTTCTTTGGGTGCACACCTGAAAGTGATATGCATGGCTACTCCTTAGAACACCCACACTACCTCCCAAAAAGATTTTATATTCAAATTTAGTTGAAAATAATGAGGAAAACTCAATTTGTATTTCTTTCCTCTCCTCTTCCTCCTCCTTCGTTTTTCGTTTTTGCCATAAGTCATCTGTGCTCTTTGGAGAGAGACAGAGAGAGGGAAAATGAGAAATCACCCCCAGGGTGGTCACACCCCAATCCCTTTTCCTCTATTCTCCTTTAGGAATTTTGAGCACACATGTACATGTGCCAGCATGATTTTCAAGCCGCTGGGTCCAGGCCTCCAAATGCAGTCAGTCATGTGGGAATCAAGCACCTTAATCACCACACTACCCACTGGCCCCTTAGTTTATATCTTTTAAAAAATCCTTATACACTTGAGAGTTTTACTTGAGACACTAGTAAGAAAACACATTGCATAAATAGGTGTTTATAGTCAGTAATCCTTTCAGAGTTTCAAATGGGTATTGTCATACTCTATTGCTTTTAAGAAGTAAAGACCATAAAATCAGGCGGTGGCATTCAAAGTAGGTTCAGTTAGGGATGCTGTTCTTTCCTTCAGCTCCCAGGAATGATGGAAAAGTATGTTCCCTGTGAATCTGTATCTGAGATAGGGCCAGACATTGAAATGTTTTAATGTAAAGTAAAAAATCCAAAACAAAATTTGAAAGTCGAACCAAAATTTGGTTATACAGATGAAAAAGCTAATTAAGCTTCCACCATTTTCAGATAAAGCCACAGTGTTGTGAAGTTTACATCATTCATTCTCAAGAGATTTTTAGCCTTCTCCTCAGATCAGAGGAGTTGGCCCAAGTGATGCTTTAATCAGAACCCTGGGACCCTGTGACATTTGCCAGATATTGTTCCTGACCCAAAGTGGGTGGTTCTGTCGAGGCAGCAGTGAGCTGTGCAATTGCTTTCAAAATCAAGTAGCTATGAGAAAGGCAACTGTATTTACAATCCTGGGGTTCTGTGATGTCTATAAAACTTCAGCAAGAAATAAGTTTATATAAATGTAACTAAATCCCAAAGAATAATGAACTGGTAGTGATGGGACTCCAAACAACCTGCTTTGAAATCTTAGCCTGTTCATCTCTCTGTGAGGTCATTCTTTCCCTAATTCCATTTTTATAAGGCATTTCCATTTCTGTATTATTGTAACTTAGAGACACATCCAAATGGTACTTCTCATGTTGTGCCATGAGCTGAAACTCCAAGTCCAGCCTGAGCCTTAGTAGATTTGAAGTGTGAGTAACTTTCTTGGGCTTCAAGGCTAGGATACTTAGAACCATACGTAAGATGAATATGGCTCAGGTTTTAATATGAGAGCATCTATGGAGGAGCTGCTGCCTTTTGTCTTCTGTTGCCTGTTGCCCCCAGACAGAATCCTACCTCTAAGGACAGCCAGGAGCCCACGCCCTCCTATGAGCTTCCCTCTGAGTAGTTTCCTGCAGGGAAGGAGCATAGCTGGACAATTCTCTTTCTCAATACAACTTTAGACACATTCGTCATAACATTGCTCACTCTGAAGTTTGTGTGGTTAGCACTTTGTCCATTTTTATTTTCTTTTTTACGTTTTAAGTGAAGCTGCACCGAAGTCAGAGGTGTTCTCCCACTCTGTGCGGCTGACATGAAAGTGCAGTAGATGATGTGGACCACATATAATCCCACAGGGGGCTAGATCAGGAGCTTCATCAGGAGTCCTCATAGCCATGTGGTTTTTTTGGTTTTTGTTTTTGTTTGTTTGTTTGTTTGTTTGTTTTTGCCATAGGGTGTGTGCACTTGCCAGACAGAGAAAGACAGAAAGCGAGAAATCACCCCCCAAGGGGGATGGCTATGCCGCAATCCCTTCTCTTCCATTCTCCTCTTGGGACCTTGGGCACACACGCATACGTGCCTGGCATGAGTTTTCAGCCACCGGGTCCGGGACGTGAACCGCGGTTGACTACGTGGGAGTCCAGCCATGTGTTAGTCAGTGATTTGCAGTGCGCCATGTGGGCAGAGAGTTCCCTAATAGAACAGCTTGTCATGATAAGGACTGTCACTACAATTGTCATTCCTTTATTTCCATCTGTCCTTTCAGATGTGATTTTGAAGACACAGCTCAATACCGGGCCTCAGCAATGAATGTTAAAGGAGAGCTTTCAGCGTATGCTTCTGTTGTGGTAAAGAGTAGGTTTGCTGAATTTGTTTCATTTCCAAGTGTTTTTTGCTCTTTCAAAAATTTATTGTCATCGCTAATAAGTCACCAAGCAGTTCACGTGCCTTTCTTTTCTAGGATATAAGGGAGAATTTGATGAGACTCGCTTTCATGCTGGGGCTTCCACCATGCCCCTTAGCTGTAAGTTTAAAAATATATTTGTTATATCTAGTCTCTATGTAAAATTTAGTGTAATAAGCTATGCTATAATGCTGAAATAAATGCATACTCCTTATAAGATATTACAGTATACTAGGTGACCGTGGTTAGTTTTATTGTTTTTAGATTCTTTGGTTATAATTTTTTTTAAAGACAGGGTCTCACTCTGTTACAGTCCTCCTGCCTGAGCCTCCAAACTAGCTGGGACCACAGGCATGCACCACTGCACCCAGCTTTTGTAGGGTAGGTCAGAAAAAGAACCCAAGGTCCCCTACAGCCTCAGCCTGCAGAGTAGCAATGTCTCACCAGTGCATGCCGCCACAGCTGGGCCGGTCACTATTCTCTTTCTACATCTAATTGCTTTGTTCTGATTTTATGAAAGCCCAGATGTGAGGAGCTAAAACAACTAAATGCTTTTTTAAATTAATTTTTAAATCATTATTTATATATTAAAGCACTATACATCATTTAGATTGTGAAGAGACTTTACCCAGCATGATATACACCTCAGTCCAGCCCAGTTGAGATTATTGTACACATTCCCATCAACAAGTAAAAATCCTTATCTGTGTCCCACAACAACCAAATGCGTTTAAATCTTTCTGGGTTACACTAAGAAAAGTTACATGAACCTGGGCATAGTAATTTACCTGTCCCCCACACTTAACACAAATAAGCCTGGGCTGTATCAAATCATTCTTTGTTATCTTTAAGTATCTTGATCAGCATTATCTTTTTGAGAAATCATGTCTGACCCCTGCTACCACCCTGTTCCCCCTTCAGTGAGGTCTAGGTGTCCCCAGTGGGGCCACAGCACTTCATCAGAACATCTATAACACTGTTAGGTGTCAGTCTTTCCCACTGGTCCATGTGCCTCTTAAAGTCAAGGCTGGACCATCTAAGCCAGTCAGTTTTTCACTGGTTAGTTTCTTAGAAGATGACTCACTTTGTTGACTTCATGCAATGATTCCTAACTTTAATATTCCAAGTTATAATCATTGGTATCTACCATGGGTAGGAGGGGATAAAGGTGGAAGCAAGAGAGAAGCACATCCCAAACCATGTCCTTCTCTTGCTTCACTTGTATTGATAGAGAATAGTTGGAAATTCTGCATCTGTGACTGACCTTCTGTCCCCATGACTGTCCTCTCGATCACTTCACAGTCCTCTGAATGTATCCTGCTCATTCCTACAGCCAGACCATCATCCAGGTTTCTGCCTTTTCCTTCTTTGTCAAGCTAAGTTCTCAAAACCCAGATCCAACCTTAATCCTCTTACTGCTCAACCTTACAGAGACCTCTCTGATTCCTGAATCGAGAGCAGTTTTTCCTAAAAAAAAACAGAAGGCTCATATTCATGTGTTCAAGTAATATCTATTGAGCACCTCTTATATTCTAGGTATTAGCTCAGATGCTTGGAATATTCTGGTAAATATCACAAAGCTCCCTACCTTTGATTCCATCCTAACAGTTAGTATGTGTGTATTGATTTCCTTTTTTTTTTTTTTTTGAGAGGTTTTTCACTATAGGGTGCGTGCGCTCGCCAGACAGACAGAGAGAGACAGAGAGACAGAAAGCGAGAAATCACCCCCCAGAGGGGATGGCCACACCGCAATCCCTTCTCCTCCATGCTCCTCTTGGGATCTTGGGCACGCACGCACACGCGCCCGGCGTGGGTTTTAAGCCACCGGGTCCGGGACGCGAACCGTGGTCGACTCCGTGGGAGTCCAGCGACATAGCCATTACGCTAACTGCTGGTTCCCTTGATTTCTTTTTTTGAGAGAGTGAGATTTTTGCCATACGGCGCATGCACTCGCTGGAAAGAGAGATAGAAACAGAGAGACAGAAAGTGAGAAATCACCCCTCCAGGGGGATGGCCACATTGCAATCCCTTCTCCTCCATTTTCCCCCCAGGATTTTGGGCATGCATGCACATGCACCCAGCACCCGTTTTTAAGCCACTGGGTCTGAGACTCAAACCGCAGTCAAATACACAGGAGTCCAGCGTAACCATTACATAACCATTATGCCGTCTGCTGGTCCCGTATTAATCAATTTTGCCAGATACTACCCTAAGACATTTTATGTGTATTGACTCATTGAATGGTCCCTAAAATCTTATGAAGCTTTATTTATGTTATGCTGGTAAAGAAACAGTTTAGCAAAGTTAAATAGAGGGACAAGACTACACATAATGGTATAATAGGGACTTGTAAACTGGTCTAAATCTTTTTTCTTTTTTAAGAGAGATTTTTGCTACAGGGCATGTGTGCTCACCAGAGAGACAGAGAGAGAAAGAGAGACAGAAAGCAAATCACCCCCTGGGGCTGGGGGTGGGAGTGGCCATGCTGTAATCCCTTCTCCTCCATTCTCCCCTCAGGATTTGGGGCACACACACACACACACATGTGCTAGGTGTAACCTGGTCTAATTCTAAACTGTATTTATTTTATTTTATTATCCCGTAACAGAGAGAGACAAAGAGAGATAGGGCCTTTGCACACAATCCACCCTCAACCTCAGCTATCTCCAGTCATGGACATGCACGCATGATGTGCACAAGAAGACCTCAGGAAGTGAACTTGGGACCTTCCAATGTGAGACCATTGTTGCAGAGTGTTGCATTACCACTGTGCCACTGGCTATCCTTCTAAAGTATATTTTAAACAAGGGGTCAGCAGACATCCTTGTAAAGAACTAGATTAGAAATGTTTTAGGCTTTGTGGATTGTATTGTTTCTCTCACAGCTTCTCAACTTTGCCTATGTAACATAAAAGTAGACATAAACAGGTAAATGAATGAATGTGGCTGTGTTCCAATAAAACCTTATTTATGAGCATTGAAATTTGAATTTCCTGTGACTTCTCATGTCACAAAATATTATCCTTCTTTTGACTTTCTTTAACCATTAAAAACTTTAGAAATCATTCTCAATGGTACTAAACAAGAGGCAGTTCAGATTTGGCCCACAGATTTGTCCAATCATACCTTAAATCACTTTTCCCAGGATGGAAAGTACATGAAACAAATGGTCAAGGATGTGACAAAAGAATTGTGCTTTGTCTTCTGGCCGTTTACGCTGGGATGGCTTCCTGTTGAATCCCAAAAAAATCTCAAGCATCTTAGACCAATCTCAGAAACAGAAAGTTAGGGTCTACTTCTTGGTAGCCTATTTGTGTTTCCCATTGGGTCTGAAATATCCGCTTACTACAGAGTCTCCTCATATGCCTCATTTCTACTCCATAAGACAGCTTTGGAACCAGCTGAGCCTTCCAACGACAAAAAAGGGATCTGATCAAGTAGATGCTCTATTTCTTTTCAGTAGAACATCATCACATAAAAATGAGGCAGTTGGGAAATGTGCCTCACAGAGAAGTTATTTCACTGTTGGTGAGTTGTCTAGGAACACACAAATCAAGTCAGTACAGGTTGAGGGCACAGGTTCTTAACATAGCCCTGGCAGGTGGCTCTGACTCTGCAAGTGAATCTGGACAGTTATGCAGCCCCATCACACATTAGTTTCCTCCTCTATAAAACACATAATAATAGTACTTACCTGGAAGGGTTATTATGGGGATTGAGTTAAGAGCTATTAAATACATGGAACCATACTTGGCAAAAGTTGAACTCAGTAAGTGTTGGCTTGCATTTTTGAGTTAATACTAATGAGAGCCCTGGGGCCAGCAGGTGGTGTGATAGCTAAGGCACTGGACACTCCCCCATGGCTGACCACAGTTAAGGTTGTGGACCTAGTGGCTTGCTTTCTCACTTCCCCTCCACCCTTGTCTCTCTTTGGTCAAATCAAAACAAATGAATGAGGGGCCGGCAGGTGGCATGATGGTTAAGGGTGCTGGACTCCCACATGACCTATCACAGTTTGAGTCTTGGACCTGGTGGCTTACTTTCTCACTTTCTGTCTCCCTCGCTCTCTCTCACTCTGCCTATCTTTGGTCAAATTAAAATAAATAAATAAAACTAAATTAAAAAATAATTATTTAAAAATAAATAAATAAAATAAATGAATAAATAAAATTAAATACATAATTCTTGCAAAAAATACTAATGAGAGGCCTTAGGAAGAGAGATGAGATAGAAGAGAAAGAGTCTAAGTTTTGGAGTTTGGAAGCTACGGGGGAGCATTTCAATTTTATGTACTACCTGCACAATCTTGGCATTAGCTGAACATTACCTTTGTGAACTTCTAAATCTCCATCTGAAAGAGAGGGAAAAAGAATACTATTTATGCCATGGAATTCTTGCACGGAGTAGATGACCTATCAAACATCATGTATCTGGTATACAGTAACCCATCGACAGTCATTTCTTTCCTAACCCCTAACCCCCATTCTTTGAGAGAGAGTAAAATCTAAGAAAGTAGATGATGGAGGCATTTACTCCATCTATGAATAAGATATATCTGAGAACAATCTTTTTAAAGTTATAATATTTTAAACGTTTTGGTTTTCCCATTGACATTTCTTATTAGATATATATTTTTCATTTTCATTTTCTTTTTTTTTTTTGCTCTGATCTCTAAAGAAACTGAAGTAACTTGCTGAAAAATTCTATTTCTATGAGTAATTCATATGGCTATTTTGTCCCAAGAGGGCAAGATTAGAATTTAAATGAACTCCAAATCTAAAATTTAAAAATGCTTATATTGCAGGTCACTATTTAATTCTAGGTTAAATATGTTATTAATTCGTACTTAAGACATTAAACCTAACCCTTTAAGTTCTATTTATGACATTAATAAAAATAAGCATTTAGTTCATATGACCAAGCAAGAAGCAAGAAATTTCCAAACCCTTTAAGTTCTATTTATGACATTAATAAAAATAAGCATTTAGTTCATATGACCAAGCAAGAAGCAAGAAATTTCCATACAAATGATATATTATGTATGTTCTACATACTATTTATATAGGACTTAATTTTAACCCGAATAAATCATTTAATCAGTTTTGTCGCAAATGCTTTTCTGCTTGTGCTTATTAAAATGCTTGTGTCTTTTTGATGAAGAAAAAAAAAATCAACCACAAATTGCTGGTATTTGTTTTTTGTCGTACCCAGTTGCTGTGACCCCATATGGTTATGCATCCAAGTTTGAGATCCACTTTGATGACAAGTTTGATGTGTCCTTTGGGAGAGAGGGAGAGACAATGAGCCTGGGCTGCCGTGTAGTCATCACTCCTGAAATTAAACATTTCCAGCCGGAGATCCAGTGGTACAGAAATGGTAAGTTTGTATAATAAATTCTCACTTTGGTTCTTATTTATAGAAGACCAGATTGCAGAATCTGGCAGGTAGAGAGAACCACCTACTGTATGTTTAAAAAGTTTTGTTTTGCTTTGCTTTATTTGGAAAGAGAAATGAAAGATAAAAGTGAAAAGGAAAGAGACAGACGTAAGTACTTTTGACATCGTCTCACTGTGGGTCTTCTGCCCCAGCCTCCCAATTACCTACAATCACAGGTGTGTGCCACTGTATCTGGCATGTTGGGGTTGGCCAGGAACCAAATCCAGGCCTCCAACTTCCCCAGTGGTGACACTACCTGTGTACCACCGCGGCTGAGTCCAAAATGTTTTTACATAAGTATTGAAGTAGCAACACTTTTGTGGTACATTTCTGGAGGTGATATTTTCTTATCATTACATAATATGTGGAAAGAATTGTAAAATTTATGTGTTAACTTTGCACATTCACTTTGGTGAAATATCCTTCCTCATAGACTTACTATTTCTACCATAGAGATCATATGAAACTTAAAAAAAAAAGGAACACATAACCTTATAAAACAATAAAAGCCTGATCATAATGAACCAGAAGAGTAAATTAAGAGGACATTCATACTTTGGCACATTTGTTCTAATATAGTAACAGCTCTTTATAAATTTGAACTTTCTGATAAATGTATTCTACATACAGAATATGTGAGCTACGCTGATATCCCATAAGGATAAAAAAGTAGTTAGAATGATCTTTTCATTTTAAATCCTATTATATCTGAGGCTGGTTGAACAGAAACAAAACCTTTCCATTTTCCATTGCTCTGACTCGGCCTGACTGCCTGAGATCTCCATCTAGCCTAACCTCACTGCAGAGGGTTCTAGAGCCAAGTTACTTTGGTATGAAATTTGGGTTGAAGTCTATTTAAAGTTTAGGTAATGAAAGGAGGCAAAAAAAAAAGCTATTGAAACAAATTGATTAGTTGAAGCAATGGACCAAGAAATAATGCTTTCTCTAAAACAGCGTCATAAATCTTAGACCCAAATATACTGAGTTTCTATACCAGATTATCCAATAGACAAAGACATTGAAACTGGTGAGTATAGGGATTGTCCTAAACCACACTCCCGAATCCAGGCAGGCCTCTTGAGATCTCCAGACCTGGTGGTTTGCGTTGTAAGAGTTGAGCTCTTTTTACCACCCTCAGCTGCCTCTTAAATTACTGAAACATTAGATCTAATATGTAAAAAAACAAAACAAAATGAAACAGAAAAACCCAAAGGGAAAATTTGTACTTTCTCCAACCTATCTGTGTCCTTTTATGCCTGGGTAGTGAAAAAAGCACTGAAACGTAGGGAACCACATTTCCCCTAGATACCTATTGATCGGTAGTCCCATTAGCTTCTAGCTGGTAGGTGTATTGTGGCAAGAACGACCAATAGACCTGGAGACTCTCATACGCCCTTCTAATTCATCTTAAAGTCTTTACCACATTTATTTCTAGAGAGGATTATATTTTAAAACTCTTAAAAATGTTAAAATCCCAGAACAGAAATGGTAAGAAGATCAGATTGCAGAATCTGAAAGGTTGTGGGGACCACCTACTTTATGTTCAAAAAGTTTTGTTTGTTTTTCTTTTTTGTTATGAAAAATGATATTCTGGGTATTAGTAAGATTATCATGTAATTTTTCTGTTTTACTGTTTGTAAAATAAACTTTGGAAAAATATTTTTGTAAATAGGAGAGAAAAGTAGTTAACGGCAATGCTTTGTGTTATTTCCTATAAAGTATTTAATGATAGTTCAGACTCCATTTTGTTTATGAAAAACAACAACAACAAAAAAAAACAACTAAGGCCTAGAGAAGTTAAGTGACTTACCTGATGTTGCACATTTAGTTAATGAAAGAGATTGGACTGAAACTTTCTTAGGTCTTTTCCAGGGCTGACTTCATGGGCATGAGCACTGTGTAATTCCATAGAAACACTCTTGGAAGGGGACCTGGGCTTGCTCTGCTGACAACATCTTGAAATTCATAATCATTTTATCTTTGAATCTGGGTTTTAAACATGGAGTCCACTGGGTTGATGGAGCACAGATGATCAGATGAGATATGCTGAGTGGCAGTGCAGAGAGGCCCAGACTCAGGGGCACACTGGGCAGTGACAGTATGCTCACTAAATAGGGGACCATGCCCTCTAGTACACACACAAGCATTCTCGTTTGGAACCCCAACACTTCCATCATGGGGTTCCAAAGTGATGACTGGGAACAGAACCTGGGACTAGATTGGAATTAGCAATGCAACTTTGGCTCCAGAGAAGAGGAGGAGCTCCATGTGCAGGTAGCGCAGGGACCTATAGTGGGAAGCCAACTTGCCTGTTTATTCCCAGAACTAATGTCTGTGGGATCTGCACAAATTTTAACTCCCTGGCTTGAGCACAGTGGCAGGTACTGCAGGCAATCAGGTAGTAAGCTTTGTCAGTAAAATATGAAATAAAAGTGTACATATAGACATTGCAATAAAGCACATAAGGTAATTACTAGAATTCTTTGACGAATCTAGAGGGCTTTTTTTTTTTTTTTAATTTGAGAGGTTTTTGCTATATGGCCTGTGTACTCACCAGAAAGAGAGAGACAGACAGAAAGCGAGAAATCACCCCTCATGGGGATGGCCACGCCGCAATCCCTTCTCCTCCTTTCTCCTCTCGGGATCTTGGGCACGCACGCAGACATGCCTGCGTGAGTTTAAGCTACCGGGTCCAGGACTCGAGTTGCGGTCAACTACATGGGAGTCCAGTGACATAGCCATTATGCTAACTGCTGGTCCCAAGTCTAGAGTCTTTTGTTTTAAGGCTTAAAAACACCAATTATCAGGCCAGCAGGTGGTCTGGTGGTTAAGATGCTGGATTCCCACACAGCCGACCATGGTTTGAATCTTAGACCCAGCAACTTGAAAATCATGCTGGACACGTGTGCATGCCCAAAATCCTGAGAAGAGAATGGAGGAGAAAAGGTTGTGGTGCAGCCATTCTCCCAGAGGGCGACTTCTCACTTTCCCTCTCTATTTCTTTTTGGCTTGTGTAGGAACCCTGTGGTAAAAACCTAAAAGAAAACAAATTGATCTTAAAGATTATAACATTGGGTACAGATGAGCCTGATTTTTATATGAAACTTTGGATGAACCAACTACTAACAAGAAGGATGGTTTTAAAATTAGAATTTGTAATTAAGATACAAATTCTGAATTATATACAAATTCTAAAGTCATTTTTGGTTTCCGTTATGACCACCAAAAGAACACAGTAGAGGAAACATTAAAATACAATTGTGTAGGGACCAGTAGTTAGCGTAATGGCTATGTTGCTGGACTCCCATTTTGAACAAAGGACTTTACAATTTAATTTTGCATGGGTTTCGCAAATTATGTACCGTCTCTGGTCCCTTCACTTGTGGCCTAGTATTTTCACTAATATAAACAGAATAAAAACATATACTATAAATACATATTTATAGTTTAACTAAATGGCAAAATGACTTAAAGACCTAGAGACTTCCTCTAATAGTCGAATTGCTTTCAGGACAAAAAAAAAAAAAAAAAAAAAAAACGTTAAGGGAGAGAATGGAAGAAAGGAATAATGGAGGAAAAATAACTTAATTTGCTTACTTTTTAAAAAATTATTATTTCTAGGGGCACCTGTTTCTCCATCAAAATGGGTGCAAACGCACTGGAGTGGAGAGCGGGCAACACTGACATTTTCTCATCTCAACAAAGAAGATGAAGGCCTCTATACAATCCGTGTGCGAATGGGAGAATATTATGAACAATACAGCGCTTACGTATTTGTTCGAGGTAAGACCTAGCAAAATGCAGAACACACAATATTTAAAACGCCAAGGCCACATTGATCTGTTTAAACATGTTTTCGTAATGATGAAAGAGCCATTTGAAAATTCTTCTGGATTATCTGGTATAGAAATATTAATTTTCAGTAAAATTAGAGCCAGTGTAAAAGGCAATTCAACCAAAGGTAACTGGTTTCCAGACCTTATTACTATCCCCAGTATCAGGACTTTCTTCATCTTACATGAACCACTAATACAATTGGGCATTTGAGAGGAGGTGATAAATCCTGGTGTTACAGAAAACCATTTCAGTTTATGGAAGACGCCACAGAAGAGGGATGTGCTATTTGGGGATTTACTCTTTAGTATGTACTTGACAGTACAAATTTGTATTCAAATTTATTTATTGATCCCAGGCACCTTCTTTATATCTTCAGTTTTTGATGAATTACATAGATTTACTAATTTTTATTTCTCGTGCAGTAAATAGAAGCATAAAGTCATAGACACTTTGACCAAATAGAATTTTCTTAACTAGGGTACACAGGGTTTGTGATTGGGACTATATTTTCAATGTAATTGTTTCTTTTATAATGTCATGTATTTTATTATATGCATTTAGAAGCATTGTTCTTAGAAGGTTCTTTAGCTTATCGAAAGTTAGGATTCCCATTCCAGTCCAGCCTAATTTAAGGTGCAGAAACTAATGATCAAAAAAGTGAAGCGATTGGGAACCAGCAGTTAGCGTAATGGCTATGTTGCTGGACTCCCACGTAGTTGACCACGGTTCGTGTCCCGGACCCGGTGGCTTAAAACTCACGCCGGGCGCGTGTGCATGCGTGCCCAAGATCCCTAGAGGAGAATGGAGGAGAAGGGATTGCGGCGTGACCATCCACCCTGGGGGGTGATTTCTCGCTTTCTGTCTCTATGTCTCTCTCTGTCTGTCTGGCGAGCGCACGCGCCCTACAGTGAAAATCTCTCCAAAAAAAAAAAAAAAAGTGAAGCGATTTACTGAAAGCCTTTGCTAGAAGCCAAAGTAGAACTAGGGTACAGGGTTTTCTGATGCCCAGCCAAGGATTTTATTTAGGGTATGGGCTCTCTGCTGAAATGAAACAATAACAGAAGTTAGCCTCTCTCCTATGTCTATCAGTCCAGAGGTAGGTTGGTGGTCCAGATAGTTCTGCTCAGCACAGTTATTCAGTGTCCCAGGTCCCATCTGTGTCATTATTCCACTACTTCTTGTGTTAGTGTCCCATGCTCTTATTCCAGCCTCTAGGGAGAAGAAAGAGAGGACGTGGAGGGGGAGAGGCAGAGTTGCACACATCACTTCTGCTCGGTGAGCACTTAGCACGTGCATCACCTCCCAGTGAAGGAAGCCAGGATGTGTAGCCTGCAGTTGGCCAGCTATATACCCTGCTAACGCTCAAGGTTCTAGTACCAAAGGGAAACAAGGAGGATGGATAATGGGGACACTTAGCAGGTTATACTGCACAGTGTTGATTAATAAATGACCTTTGAATTCTGCCATGGACCTGCAACTCATAAAGATATGTGAATACCTACAACACCTGAAAAATATGTCAGGCCTTCTCTTTCACAGGAAAAGTTGATATTGCAGGAAGAAGAGAGGAGCTAGCCTTCTGGGCAAATTTCAGTAAAAACTGACATACCGGAACTTATCAGCAGGCATATTTGTTTAATCAAACTGCCTAGATAGACCTAGCTGGGACTGGATAAGCAAAAAGTTTGCCTCCACTCTCAGTTGTCTTACTGGAACCAGGCAACATTGTTGGTTATTCCAAAATAAGTTCACTATGCCTTGGTGTTTCCTTCATAGACTTTTTCTGGAACAGTCTCAGGTTCCTCAATGACATTTCTGTCCTACATTCAGAATTATGCCTCTCTGCTAGGTTGAGAACAGACTATGTTACTAACTATACTCTAGAGGGGAAGGAGGGCTCTAAAATTTGAAATTTTTACTGAAACCAGTTTTTCTTATCCACAAATTAAGGAGGTGAAAAGATTCTAAAATATATTACATGTTGATATGACAGAATTGAAAAGATAAATGGAAAAGACAAAATTGGAAAGGTACATTTTAACAATCTTGTGAATTTAACAACTTACAGAAAAATATATCACTCATAAACTTATGTTAAATGATATGTTTTAGTTTTTTTTAAAAAAACATTTTATTGAGGTATAATTTATGTACCATAAGATTCACTCTTGTTAAGTGGAATTCAATGCATTTATTTACAGCTATGCAACCATCACCCACAATTTAATTTTAGAATATTTCTATCATCCCAAAGGGATTTCTCCTGCCTATTTCCCTCTCTCATACCCAATCTAGTCTCTGATAACAGCTAACTTACTGTCCATCTCTGGAGATGTGCCTTTCTGAACATTTCTAGATATAGACAGTCTTTTACATCTGCCTCCTTTCAATTTTCAATGAGCGTGGTTAGAAGTTCATTTATGTCATAGCATATGTTAGTCTTGTGCTCCTTTTATTGTTAATCAATATTCCAGTGTATGCATGTACTTCATTTTGTCTATATTTTCACCAGTTGATGGACAATTGGAGTGTTTCTGCTCTCTAGTTCTCAGGAACAATGATGCTATAAACATTTGTGTTCATATGGGCCTTTGTTTTCATCTCTCTTGGATCTATGCCTTCAAGTATAATTTATGGGTCACATAATACATTTTTGTTTAACTTTTAACGAGCCTGCCAAAATCTTATAAATAATGTTTTATATGTTTTTTAAATCTTTATATCAGTTGAGTTTCATGAGGCCATTTCTAGAGCTCTGGTATTTTTGCTGCTTAGAAAATAGCTTCCATACCAGAACGATCAGTGTGTAACACACCAGATTTCTGCAGAAACATATTACCATGCTATACACATTTGCCCAGAATTTTTGTTACTTGTATAACATGTGTTAATTGTGAAAAAAGATACTATAAATTTAAAAAAGAACAAGAAAAGCCATCCATAAGTCTACCACCCAGAGATACCCAGTGTTACTATTTTGTTACTTATTTTTCTAGGCTTTTATATATTCTCTTCTTCTCTCTTTCTACACACACACACACACACACACACATTCATATGCAGAGAGAGACAAAGCAATAATAAAGTGGTAAAGAATGGGATAGAAAAGTCATAAAAGAACAATTACAAATGGAAAAAACTATGAAAAGTCTTTCACTGATAAGAAAAGCAGTGAAAATTGAAATGAGATCTTTTTATTTCCCATATTGAAAAGATTGAAAGATTTTGAAAAATGTAATGGAGGAACATGCACTCCTATACATGATTGGTGAGTGTGAATAGTTCGAGCTTTTCTCAGGTGTTTTGCCACTAGGTATCAAAAGCACTCGAAGAAATTTAGATATCCACCAATGTGGGAGTTGTAAAAGAAAGTACATTAGATGTTCCATATAAACAGTGGAATACTATACAGCAATGAAAACTAATGTTTACCTATATTTACCTAATATGGAAATATATCAGGAAAAAGGTTTACATGAAACTATATGATCTCATTTGTTTCAATAACAATCTTTATTTAGTTTATAAATAAAGAAAAAATCTAGAAAGATTTAAGTCAGTATTCTCGTAGTAATTGTTACCGAGTTATGGACTTAAAGGGATTTTAAACATATTTTTGATTATCATATATTTCATAAGCATGCAATACTTCTATAATAAATACAATAAAATGACTTACTTAAAAATTTTTATTAATAGTCTGAGTCTGAGGTCAAAATATAAAAAGTAGCAGACTGGGATCAGCAGGTAGTATAATGGTTATGTCACTGGACTCCCATGTAGTCAACCAAAGTTCAAGTCCTGGACCCAGCGGCATAAAACCCATCCAGGCATGTGTGCCCAAAATCCCTAGAGGAGACTGGAGGAGAAGGGATTGCGGTGTGGCCATCCCCTTGGAGGAGTGATTTCTTCCTTTCTGTTTCTGTCTCTCTGGTGACTGCACACACCTTTTAGCAAAAATCTCTCTCTTAAAAAAAAAAAAAGAGTAGCAGGTTAGTCTTTGACTCACCTAATCAGACCTATGAAAAGTTTGGCTATTGGGCCAGCTGGGGCATGGTGGTTAAGGTGGCTGGATCCCACACGGCTCATAGTGTGGTTCAAGTGCTAGGCTCAGCAGCTTGAAAAACGTGCCAGGCACATGTGCATGTGTCCCTCCCCAAAAAAATACCAAGAAGAGAATGGAAGAGAAGGGGTGATGGCGTAGCATAGGGTTGAAGAGGATTAATATTGATTCAGGGGGCCAGCAGATGGCATGGTGGTCAGGGCGGCTGGATTTCCATATGGTCAACAGCAGTTCAAGTCCCAGACCTGGTGGCTTAAGACTCAGGCTGGTTGCATGTGTGTGCACACCCAGAATCCTGAGAAGAAAATAGAAGAGAGGGGATCACAGCATAGACATTTCCCCCAGTCCCAGACAGGTGATTTCTTAATTTCCCTCTATTTTTAAAATTTTTGCAGGAGAGAGACAAAGAAAGAGAGACAGAAAATGAGAAGTCACCCCCCAGGGGGTATGGCCACGCCAGAGTCCCATCTCCATTCTCCTCTCGGGATCTTGGGTGCACATGCACATGCGCCTGGCGTGAGTTTAAGCCACCAGGTCCAGAACTCAAACCACAGTCGACTACATGGGAGTCCAGTGACATAGCCATTACGCCAACTGCTGATCCCAGTTTCCCTCTATACATAGCTCTCTGTCTTTCTTCTCTGCGGAGAGTGCACATGCCCTATGGCAGAACTCAAAAGAAAAAGACTGACTCAGTGTTATGCTACGTAGCAGGTGCTTGAAGCCAAGAGTCATTGCATTATTTCCCAGTTGTGCTATCCTTCTAAGTATACATATTTTGTTTCCTCCACTCTACTATAACTTCTTGAGAGAAAAAAAAATTATCCTTTCATCTTTTTAATTTGCCAGAGGATGAGTACACTCTCCAGAGAGAAGGAGAGGAAAAGTGAGAAAGCACCCCCCACTCCAGCATGGGGAATAGTTACGCCATAATCCCTTTTCCATCTCTCCCTCCTTTCAAGATTTTGGGCATGCATGTACATGCATGCACTTGTGCTCAAATCATGTGATCAGCCATGTGAGATCCAGCCACCTGAACTTACCAGCCCACAAGCTGACCCTGAATTATCCTTATTTTTTTTAACCTTTACATGGAGCACCTAGAAGAGAACTGAATGAATGAATGAGTGAATCAATGCATGAGTAACTTGAAAGGTTGTCCAACCCACCCCATGAATGACATATTCCAAGTGATGTTATAAATGCTGAAAAATGGCTTCCTGAATAGTTACTGTCTGCCAGGCTCTGTCATAGCACATTCCTTCTATCATCTATTCA